AGAGGAAGGAAAATGCGCTTGACCACGCATCATTGCCATCTTTTCTAAGACAGTTTGCTTTCCATGGAGGCGAAAGCATAAATCCTTGATATGACCTGTTCTTTTTCAATAAGAACACCATCGATCATCTCTCTTAGGTCTAGAAGATGCACCATCATAAAACTTTGTAAAGGAACTCCTTTGAGAAGAGGCCATACTGCACAAAAAATAGTCAAAGAAAAGCTCCAAGAATCCAAAAAATACGGAAAAAATACCAAACGATGTCCGATCTGAGAAAACAACACAGATCCAGAACGAGAATGAAGAGACGATCAGAACGCTCTTGGCCGGAGCTGAAAAAGGTGATCCACGCGCCTCCACGCGCCGGTGGAGGTGTCTACGAGTGGGCCTCACTCGCCGGGAAGGTGGTGGCGCGTGAGAGCGCGTGCGGTGGCCGCCGGAGCTGAGATTTATGTGGGAAGGTTGTCCGGCGAACGCGGTTCTATCTGTGTTTGTTCGGAGTTGAAAAACCCACCGGAAAAGGTCCAAAACCGATGAACAGGTGTTGTGATGTGTTTGACGTTTACGATTTTGTTTGGCTACTGTGTGTACAGAAAACGAGAGACCAAAAAAGATAGAACAATGGAGAAACTAGAGACAAAAAAAAAACAGTGGCTTCTCGGTCCAAGAGGTCCCCGGAAAAATTTTCCCAGTGGCAGCTGATGGTAGCGAGAGACGAAGAAAGGAATAAAAGGGTTTTGTAAGCGCGGAAGCAGAACCCTCAGGATCGAGAGCTTTGATACCAACTTGTAAAAAAGGGTTATCAAATATTATTGAATTGTATATTAATCTGATACAAAGATGTCTCTATTTATAGAGACTAAAAAACCTAATTTTTGACCTAATGGGCTTGGCCGAATACAACAAATACTAATAATAATAAAAGACCTAATATTTACAACAACCTCTTTTCATTAACATGCATAAAAGTCCTCGTATACAACATAAGTGCAAGCCCTTATATTCTTCTTTCTTTTAACCAGATAACTCACACACACACAGAGTAACAAGCACATGCATATCTCTCAAGCATAATCTCAGTTCCATTACACAGCATACATATGTAGATATATATTAGAATAGGTGTACTTTTACAGCTTACCTTATTTGAAGTCTCTTCATATGGTTGATTGGAGGGCTGAAACCTTGGCTTTAGACGATAACTACTCTTAAAGTGTGGTGTCTTCCTTAACTCTGCCCTCTTGTACAGCTTCCCCTTCTGTCTTAGTCTCCCAAGCTAGTAGGTTTATAAAAATTAAGGTACGAGTAGTCTAGCTTTTATTAAGAGGAAAGGTTGGTGATCATTGAGGAAGATACTTGGTGTGCTAAGTTAGGGATTTGAGATGGTGAGTTTGCATGTTAGGTGTGAGTATGTATGGAAAAGTGATGGAGGAAAGTATGAAGGAGAGTAGGCTGTGTTTGAAATTAAAAAGGTTCATTTATTAATATTATTATTATTATTATCTTTTTTACAGAAAGTGGATCTTACAATATATGTGTTTGTATGTATGTGTGCGGTTGTGCGTATGTGTAATAATTTATGGAATGATTATGATATTAATTTGATTTTGTTAATCAATTAACATGCATATGGAGGCTGTGTGTCTTTTTATGCAAGACAATGTCTTCCCATGCGCGTCTTTACGCGTGCTACCAGGCATTAGATTGGTAAATTAATTGCCAAAAAGATTAAATGGGTAAAATATTACTAGTTTTGAATTACATAGGTCAACAGCCCATGAAATTGTTGATAGCCCACTAGGCCTTGTAAATAGAGATGTCAAATAGGTTAGCCCGTCCTAGCTGCGTAGGTTAGAGGCAAAAAGCCTGCAATGCGAAATAGCCCTCAATAATAAAAGAAAGAAAGAAAGAGGAAGAAGAGGGGAAGTAGCATGGGGGATTTAGCGAAATTAAACATTTTTGAAACGTGTTAGATCTGGAGCGCATGGGTTCGGATACTCTAGAATCTGAAGTGCAACGGATCGAATGGAATGGGCTCCGATTAAAGCAATACAACTTTTATTAAGCAATCCAACAGATCCAATGCAAACCTTTTTTATTTTTTATTTTATTTTCTTATACAATTAATTTTATTTTAATGCGCGTTCAAGATAATTGATACAAATTATTGTAATTTTTATTAATTAATTTATGTATGTTGTATAATTTCATTTAAAATTTGAAAAAAATATCATTAAAAAATCAAAATTGATGATAATCAAAATTTGAAAATAGATGAAGAATATACTGCTTATAAGGAATAAAAAAAAATAGGTGCTTTTTTTATGGTAAATCATATGCCAAATGGATGAAGCGAATGCATCAAGAGATTATCTTACTCTTAATATTAAAGACTCTATTTTATATATTTTAGGGAAAACTTTATTTTCACTTATTATGATTTTATGATTTATCATTTAACCTCCTATGGGCTAGGGCCAGACCACGAACCACCCAAAATTATAATTTCTTAATTTTTTTTTAACATATTCAATAAGTTAAAAATTATTTTAACAAATAAATATTTAACATTTTAATAAAATAATATCTGTACACAAATATACAAGTAAAAGTGTAAATAATATTTTAATATAAGTGAAAACTTAATTTTACGATATTTACTAAATTCGTTATTAAATGATGCCATCAAATGAAAATTTTCTCACCAATAGTCATAATATAACCATTCCTGATAGAAACTCCAGTGGAAAATCAAAAGTAACAATGGAAAAAATGTTCTTAATACCTTTATTGAACTACTGTTCTTAGTATGCTATATATTTAAAAATTAAACCATTGATTTTTTTCAACTATTACCGTTACAAAAACCATTTTACTTACATTAACCACAAAATTATCAAGGTGTATTATATACAATATGTTTCAGTGCAAATTTGGATATATAATATGCTTAGATGTCAATAGAAAATTTTATTTTTACTATGCACAAATGAACTTCTCTATTAAAATAAAGGGAAAACCATCTATCCTTTTAAAGGATATAAACTTATATCCTTTTAGATCATAACCGTTGATTTCCGTCCATCAACGGTTATAATCTATTGGGTCAAACTTAATGGGCCAAATTTATTATTAATTAATTAATAATAATTTTAATCCAATAAATTATAATCGTTTATGGACAAAAATCAACGGTTAGGATCTAAAAGGATATAAGTTTATATCCTTTAAAAGGATAGATGTTATTCCTTGAAATATATCACTATTGAAAATTTTATTTTTACTTATATTATGTTTATAATTTATTTTATATTTATAATATTTGAATTTTTTAAATAAGATATTTTTTATGAAGAAAAAAATTTAGCAAGCGGATAAGCCCTAACCTAACTCGCTAAAATATAGGTATTTAAAAGTTAGGGCTAAAAGAAATCCTAATAGATGATGACCAAATATAAGACTTTACAGGTCGGCTAGCGGGCTTTAATACATTTTCACACCTTGTGATTGTTATGTTGGAGACCAATGTGTTGGAGGATAATGGGAGGATAGGAATTAAAGAATAGCCAATTAATTAGCAAGTTTACTGTTTTACACAATCAATGATTGAGGATTTCACCCAATTTAATGACAATTGATGCTGCCATGTAATGGGTCTCCTTAGATACAGATTCTATGCCAATAGATTCATTGAAAATACATATGTCACTGTCGTTATATCATAGATATTTATATGACATCTGCATTGACAATTGCTTTTGGGTATTCTACTCAATTAATTTCATGCTGAAATCCCAAAGTTTCTTCGCCAAATCAGTGTCCTTTCCTTGTGAGCTTGGTTTAGCCAGATTATTATCCGAAAAATACTCGCCATTAATTCCCTTCACTTGTGGATGCAATGCTACATAGCATGTAGTTGCTGCTCCCTACAATGAGGTTGAAGAAGGTGAACATGGACTATTAGAATCATCACAAATTATGGAATTTTTAGATTGGCTTTTAGATTAAATAAATAATTAATAACACAATGTCCCTGATTCAATAGGTCCAACTGGGTTAAATTACCTGCTGGACACTTTTAATCTCATACTTCCCCAAGACATTAAGTAGATCTGCATGAATCAGAAAGAAACATAACCATAATATATATATATATATATATATATATATATATATATATATATATATATATATATAGCATAAAAAAAGATACCGAAGAATACAATTCTATAAACAATATCAGTTGACGTTGCAATTGAGTTCTATAAACTATAAAGGATGCCTCTAGGTGAACATTTGAAATTGTTTCAATAGAATGCTTAAAATATTGATGATGTTCAGCATTTCTGAATTCAATATTCAAAAGGGCCATCCTATGGAACATAAAACTATTGTTTTCTTCTTTTACAAAATATAGGATTAAAACACCTAGCACTATGAAGAAGACATGGAGCTTATTGCATTGTGAACACACTAAAAAAAACCACTTCCAAATAAATCTCAACTAGCATGGGTGAGGTAAGAGCAATTCTTATACTCAACCTTACCCTTATATATTTGTATATTTGTAAAGGGACTGTTTTCCAAATTTGAACCACTGAACAATGTAAAAGACAATTCAATGAAAATAAACAAATAAAAGGTATCCTTCAGATGATGGAGGGTTATGCAGAGTAGTTCATTTAGTTCCCAAATCCCACAATGTACATAATTCCTAGACGGACCTTAAATTCACATGAATGGTTAAATGTTGTAGTTACCTTTCGGTACACCGTCATAATGCCCATGATTTGCAATATTAGTGACAATAGCTCCAGGATGAACAGAATTTGCAGTAATATGTACCCCATCTTCCTGATCAAGATGTAACGATTAATATTAGACATATCATATACAGAAGCAAAACCAGAGGACCATCTTTACTCACAAACAAAATCAAATTAACTCATTCACTAATGTAACGTATTAATTATATTACGGTACAGTAAATATCAGCATACCTTAAGACATCTTGCAAGTTCATTGGCATGTAAAATGTTAGCAAGCTTTGATTGTCCATAAGCACGCCATTTTTGGTAACTGCACACAAGGAAGTAAAAATAATGAAACATACATTAAAAGTAATCATATCTGCGTGCTCAATTCTACATGTAACTAAGGTTTGCATAAGTCTATAAGATTATAACTATATCCACGTGCATCAAAATCATATTAGTGTGTTTTCTGTACAGAGAAGTTAATCTGATATACCCTCTATAGTGACAGAAGACCAAAAAATTTATACATAGCAAATTAGCAATTCAACATGTAATGTGACATATAAGCACAAAAAGTGAAAAACACAAACATAATATTGACTACTATTTCTTTTAACTTTTACAATTGAACAAATATTGGAGTTGAATTTCCAATGTTAATAAAACTGAGTCTCGAGCATATTTCGTAATTAAGCTACATCTTACCATGATTCATCATTAATTTTATCAAAAAGGATTCCTTCAGGATATGTATATCGGTGACCCTCAGAGGAGACATTGATAATTCTTCCTTCTTTCTTGCTTTCATGTGCTGTTTTCTTCATAGTATCCAACAAAAGATTTGTTAAAAGAAAATGACCTGTGAAATGATGATAAACAAAAACAGAAGAATTAAGATCACTTTGACGTCTTCTCAGTCTAGACATATAAAGAAACAGTAAAAGAGTAATTAGATATTTCATATAAACTACAAGGGAAAGGTTATATTTACGAATTTTTGTTTACAAATTCTTATAAACTACACTAAGTATGACCGGTCATACTTCAATTAAGAATGTATGACCGGTCATACTTAGTATAATTTATAAAAAAAGTTTGTAAACGTATCCTTTCCCAAACTACAATACAATAATATAAGCTGATAGGCTGAGACAGATCATGTGAGTAGTGAGACAAAACATAGATTTAATCCATCAGTGATTTATAACTCACTCCCCTTCCCAGAGAGAAAGATCAGATTTATCATGTATATGCTATAAAAGTAACAAGCACCTTTATCCCTAGGTTGTTAAGTACCTGCATCAGATAGAAAATACACCTCATTACCTACACTCCCTAGAAACTTTTTTTGTCAAAGTTTTTTGTCTTTCTCTTTTACACTGGAAAGCTCATAAAAGATTACATGTAACCAAATATCAGACATTTTCTACATACCCAAGTAATTTGTGGCAAATTGTAGCTCAATGTTGTCTTTGGACAGCATGAAACGGGTAGAACAAATTCCTGCATTGTTTCTTAGAATTACAAAAAACCAACCAAAAAAACATTACTACTCCATTTCCCGGAATGATCAGAATTAACTTACATATGTGTGGGTGTGTATATAAAGACAGAGTAACTAACAACTGTATTGAAATAACATTCTCATGCCCTCACCTAAAATTTAAGTTTGTAGGTGAGTTGTTCCGATATAGGATCAAGTGGTCTAGAATTTGATTCTTATGCCCTTATTCTTGTAATAAAAGGTTAAATTTTGGCGTAAAATAGGTGAGTTTGTGCATTATTTCTACACCTCAAGTATAAAGGGTTCTTCTATCGGGGGTGTTAGAATATATTCACCTAATAGCTTGTTGATGGCAAAAACATTGAATGGGTAAAGAAACATACGACAAAACATTGATAATGTAGCCAATGTAATCTTCTTACATGAGGATGTTCAATGGAAGACCAGAAGAATTAAACTGTGACACAAATTTACGAACTGATGCCATTGAACTAAGATCTAACTCCATGACATTAACTTTAGCTTTGGGAATCTCCTTAAGTATTGCTTCCTTGACATCTTTGGCAGCAACCATATTTCTCACCCCCATAATCACATGGACCCCACGCAAAGCAAGAACTCGTGCAGTTTCAGTGCCAATACCATTGGTTGTTCCTGTTATTAGAATGTCCACCACCAACCAAAATTTGCAAATAAAGGGACACATAGCTTACTAAAAGCATGTAAAGGACAATTAAATAGAAATATAACCTGTGACAATAGCAGTGAGGCCAGTCCCATCAATCTCATGAGTAACTTCCTCTGCAGTGGAAGATGCTGAAAACCCAGAAGGAGACATGGCTAACTCTATTCCTATGTCTCTCTGTCAGTGTTTGTGTGTGTCCAATGCATGTTCCCTCTTTTAAAGGATCAATTGCCGTCTTGCTGATTCCAAGGATAATGATGTAGCCCCCACCTTATTTTTTTATTGTTTGGCTTATTATTTTTTTTTAAGATATTTCAATTGGAGTAGTCTGATTTGAGAGCGCAAATCCCTCTTAAAGACATTATTTGAAAAAATCGAACACATGCTCACACCTCACATTCCTTCTTAATTTTCTGACATCAACTAAGCTACATCATTTGATTATTTATTAATTAGTTTGGTTTATGTTGGTCCCTTTTTTACCGCAAACGGCTATACCGTAGAGCCACTGATCCACCAATGTGCTTCCCAACACTATTTATCTCTAATTCTATACATATTTAATTCATCTTTTGTTAAGCGTGAACAATTTTTTTTTTTTCTTTTATTAATGCTTATATCATTAGTAATCTTTAATAGCAATGGTAATCGGTAAAAGGAAAAATTTCACTTTATGTTTTAGCGTGTCACCTAATATATAATATTTCAAGCTCATTATTTAAAATCTGTATAATTGAAGCATTGTACATTAATTTAAAAACAGATTATTTTTTTATAAATCAATTTAAAAAGCCGAGAGCTTCTGAGATGGCATTCTTAAAATTTTGGGAATGAATCTTTTTATGTGAAAAAGTGATTTGGTGATCACATTATTTGATCATAACTATTTAAAATAAGAAAATAAATAATATAATTTTTAAATAAATAATTTTGATCAAATAACATGATTATGATCACTTTTTTAACATATGAGAATCCACTTCTAAAATTTGTACAATTGACGTAAGGCTTGGCACAGGAATGTCGTCACTATCACTGTAACGCGTACTGTGTCCTTTTAATGCTTTTAATTGCACCGCTACCTAAATCGTGGACTCTTAACACAGACTCAATTCCTTCGCCCGCCGACCGAGTCCCACTAACGAGTCGCTCAATGATTGGTTAATCGGCATCTACAGTAACATAATCAAAATATTTTGAATTTTTTTATCGGGTCAGAGTATATTTATAAAAATAAATTGTTTATAAACTCTTAAGAACTACATTATTTTTTTTCGAGAAAATATTAGTCATACTGTCTTCTTTTAGAAGAACATAATACAATTTGTAAAAATTTGTAAAAAAAATTTGTAAACGGATTTTTTCCCTTTTTATTAAGGGAAGCGAACCGTTCATTTATTAGATTTAGATCTCCTTTCTCTAGCTAGTTTAATGTAATACCGGTCTATTGAGTCAAGTAAACCTGTGGGTGGGTTTCAAATATAGGTTCAGAATTAGTGGAGAATATAACTATGCAAAAGGAAAATGAGTATATATAGCCGGGGAAAGTGGCGTACTCAGAAAATATTTTTTTTATGTCCGCATATTTAGTGACGAGATTTTGAGGCAGTGCCTCCGAATTCTTTTTAAAAAAAAATTTCAAATGTATTAAAAAACAAAAAATATAAATAAGAAAAAAAACACTTCAACTTAACATAAAAGATTAGGGAAAAATATTTCTTCAGTTAATACAGATAAGTTATCTACATTTATTTCCAAAATGACGTCGTTTTGATATTAAAATCTTAAAAAATTATAAATATAAAGACTATTATAACCTTGAAATAAGTTAAAACTATAAAAATACCATGATTTCCACTCCAAAACGACGTCGTATTGGGCTTACTGCAGATAACTTATCTGCAGTAACTACAGAAAAAGCGAACCCAAAAAATTATTCTCAACACCTTTTTTCTTTTAATCAAGCTGATTTATTATATGGCATATTAAAATATCCAATAAAATATATGTCATCTCATTCCATCTCACTGTATTCCATTTATTTTCATTCCATCTCTCATTACATATCCAAACAAAATCTAATCTAACTAACATCATATTTAACTACTATACATTAAAAAAAAAATCAAAAATTCATATCCACAAATGCGAACATAGGCGACCAACTAGGTCCGCCTCTGGGCGGGGAAGATGTTTTAATAATGAGAGAGATATAATTATTTTTGCCCTAAAGAACTCATTAGATGTGAGACCAGGATCATCACATAATGTATGAGGTTCAGGAAAAGTCAAATCAAGTGTGGTGAGATAACTCTGTGTTATAATGTTTAAAAGCATTAATATATATATATATATATATAGTTTTTATTAATCTCATATTAAAAAAGATAGTTATCTCATGTCATAGAGATAAATTAGTGAGCTCCATCATCTGAAAAAATTAAAGAAAAGAAAAAGATAGCACAGTTATCGAAGGATGTGTAGGAGAGAAAATTTTTCTCATGTGACATGAGAATAGTTTTTCTTATATATATATATATATATATATATATATATATATATATATATATAAGGATAAGATCAATTTACATCAGTATAAGAATCAGTGTTAAGAAACCCGGACTGACTCGGCCGGGTCGACCCGAGAACCGATAAACCGATCATATAACCGGTCCGGTTGAAGCAACGGACTGGTCATTCATCAAAACCGGTGCGACTCGGACGATTTTCATGAAAACCGGTGACCCGGCCCGGTAAAAAAAAATCCAATTTTAAAAAAAAAAAATCATAATGGACATATTTGAATATTTTTTTGCTTATTGACTTACATAAGGTATGTACCTACAACACTAATATTATCTCAATTATGCACTATGCAGAAAATTTTGATTTGATTTATAGTTAGAGATGTCGTTTTCTGAACCTAAAGCCTCATATCACGATCATTATATTTTTGTTTAATCTTTTATTGGATAATAATATGTGATTTATTATTTTTTATATTAAAATATTTGAAATTTTTATCGTTTTTTTAGATATTTGAGTATGTTTATAATTTTTTAATATAAATTATAAAATTACATATAATTACCGGGTCATGCGATTGAACTAGTGACCCAGTACCTTGACCGGGTCAATGACCGAGCCGGTTTTAATAACATTGATAAGAATATTACACTCAATCTTCTCCTTTGATTTTCGTCCATCTAACGACCGTAATTAACTGGGTTATTTTCATTAAATAATTATTTTTATAATAAATTATAACTTTCATATATAAAAAATCAATAGTTAAGAAGATCCTGCTATATATATATATAGGGTTCGCTTTTTCTATAGTTACAACAGATAAGTTATCTGCGGTAAGTCCAATACGATGTCGTTTTGGGGCGAAAATCATGATATTTTTGTAATTTTAATTTATTGCAGGGTTATATAATCTTTATAATTTTAATTTTTTAATCTTTCAATCCCAAAATGACGTCGTTTTGTAAGTAAATGCAGATAACTTATCTGCATTAACTGCATAAATGTTTTTCTGATATATATATATATATATAGGGTAAAGGATTCCTCCATTCAATGGAGATAAGTTATCTTCATTGAGCCAAAAATAATATTGTTTTGGGACAAAAATCAAAGTATTTTTGTAATTATAATTTATTCCAATGTTACGATAGTCTTTATCATTGTAATTTTTTAATCTTATATATATAAGAATGTTACATTGTTTAAATGCAAGATTGTAATTATGGGTGTAAATAGGGTAGGTTTTGCCTTAAAGAGGACAGGCCTCTGTAAACTACTTTAAACCTGATTTGGTCTATTAGTCTTGTATAGACCTAAATTATAAGTCTAACATAACCTATATTTAAAAAACAAAAACTTAAACCTAGACCTATTAGCTTGTTTAAGCCTATTAGGCATTTAATGATTAAAAAACAATTAAAATAATATTACATTATTATTCAAAATTGTTAAAATAATAATTTATTTATTTTATTTGAAATAAATAATACCATATAAGTCGACACGTAAGCTTATCGGCCCAGTATGTAAAAGAAAGCATATGTCGTAATTTCTAAATAGAATTTTTTTTAAGCCTAAACTTGTCCTATTTAACTATATATAATAGGTTGAGTATGTAGGTCGAGCTATAAATTCCTCTTAGACCGATTGACTTATGCCCCTAATTGTAATTCAAGAATTAGACATGAAAGCACTAAAATTAAATCATAGAGAAACGAGCAGCGTTGGTGGTTGGAGGGTAAACGGTGGTGCGACGGATTGATTTCAAAATGAATGCTGATCTTGCGTTTCTTATCAAGTTTTCAAAATAATTGTGTCCATAATGATTTCATCATTGTTTAAAGAAACGTATCTTCTAACCAATCCTAATTGTATAATGTCATTTGTGATCTATTTTCAGTTTTCAATTTTGATGTTTTTTAGGATGAAACGATACAATTGTTTTCAGCTAACCCTACATTGGATATTAACACGAACAGATGATCTGACAGGAGGAAACAACAATATTTTAAATAAAATTCTTATTCAAACATATTTCAAGACATTTTTGTGGCATAAAATTATAAGCGCATTGATTCATGTTCCGTGTTTTTAAAATATATTAATGAATATGTGCAGGTGAAGAATATTTTTAATTCATTATTTTGAGAAGAGCCAATGCTTGCTACCCCTTTTTTTATTTTTTATAAAAAAATAAAATAAAATTCTTCGCAACATGTGAATTACTAAGGTGGTAGATGTTGGAGCGATGATGCCTTCAAAAGCACCGCATCACGCCATGTGGAATAATGAGGTGGGAGGCAATGCCTTTAAAAGTGTTACATGTTATAGTGCTTCCCACCTCCTTTGTCCACGTGGTGCGACACCCTTCCCATGTTAAGTTCTTTGCATTGAATATTTGTTCCACCCAAATTGTGATATAGAAAGAGAAGCTTCAAAATGGTGAAGTTGCTCACAACTAATAGTTGATGTAAGCACAAGCAGGGCAACCCAAATTAGGAGAGATCACTGACAATGGGTTAAGTGAAGAACCCAACAAACAATAACTTGTCAGGACGCCACATCCCAACTCATAGGTTTATGGGCCCTTTTAACTCATGCCCAAACTTCACATGCCATAGTTTAGTAACATCCAAGTTTGAAAGAGTAGTAGTAATTATAGCATGACATGAGCCATTAGAACCTTGGGAGACATGAAAACACGAGTATTGTTCTATCCTTTCATTACAATAAAAGAACTCCACATCAATCGGTGTACTTGTACCCATTTGCATCAAGAGTACTCAAAGAAATGAGATTGCGCTTCGAATCGAGAACATGTCCAAATCACTAATATTGTAACAACACCATCAAACATTTTAATTTTGATTTTACCAATACCAAATATCCTACAACGAGCATCGTGATCATTACTACACATTTTGACACTCTTTCATATGTTGAAAAATGAAAACTATAAAAAATGCAAGTGTGAATTATAAGTAATTAAGTTTCAAATCAACTAAGTGAGAATATGTCACAACTCGAATCTGAGCCATGACCAACGCACACGCTACCATAACACAAACTTTCTTAGCTTGGCAAGTCTATCTCCCTCAAAACACCCATAAAACAAAAGAAAATTTTAACAGATTCATATTCCAAAATTTATTGAAATTTTGACAGAATTTTCCATGTATTTCTAACATTTCCAAAAAAATTAAAAAATTCAAACTCCTGGTATGCAATCATATGTTACCAACCAATAGCAATAATAACAAAATATATAATCCAGAAACTTAACACAATGTAAAAGATGCCGCTAACAGACTTTCCATAACTGTAGAATGCTTAGAGTTCCAAAATAAACAAAGGGATGACATCCTGTCCAAAAAAAGAGCTATCAAAATATGCTACGGCTACCTGGTGTTCTGGATAGTAAAATACAGTAAGGGTGAGTCACACAGAGTCAATGAGGACATGATAATTACAATGAACAGGAAGAGAAAACAAGATATACATGAATGTTTTATCCTTTTGATAACTTAGCCATAAATATATTTGTACAGTGAAAGTAAATAATGTAAGTAAAATCAACAAAGTAGATGTGTGAATAAGAAATTAACAAATTCTGGAATGATGTAACGAGTATTTACAAAGTAATATAAAATCATGAGTTTAATATGATGGGATCACACATGACAGAACCAAGTAATGGTGGCTCCACCTCACTGATACTCATCTCCTCCTAAGGGTGATCTTTCCCTTAGGGGTGACTCTATCTAACAGGCAGCCCTTTTCTTTCTTTCTCAAGTCATATCATATCATAGCATCTCATCGAAGGTGACTTCATCTCTCTAATAGCCTTCTCCTCAAAGAGATGGCATGTCTCTTGGGACAGCTCCATCTAATGGATAGCCCTCTCCCTCTGGAATAAATATCCATATACAACCAGGTGCACCTAGAGTGTTACCCCCGCTAATGGTTACGAGATTCTAACATAAATATTATCTGTTTAGATAGTCTATGTTAATCATTGATTGTTCATGAAACTAAAATGGGAAGCTCCGATGGGTTTCACATTCAAAAAACTCACAACTTTAAATATCAACACTCACCCATGTATACAGGGATGTAAATGAATCAAGTGAAGTTAAATTTTAATTTAAATAGGTCAGATCTACCAAACATATTTTAAATTTGACCTAACTTAATAACCTAGTGTAAAAAAAGAAAACCACAGTCCACAACTTGAGTGGAGTAACAATGGGAAAGGCGCCAAACACCACATTTATCCATGTTGTCAATTTCAACCCCCCCCCCCCCCCCCCCAAAAAAAGGTAGGCATGATGAGCCAACCGTTCATTTAACCATTCCCCCCCTAAATTGCACAAATATAGTTTGTACTGCAGTTAGCCATCTTATCTTTTTCATGAGCCATTTCACCTCAGCCTGAGTTCATTTTGCACAATTTTTTTTTTTTTTTCATATTTTGCAAGACATGGTTCAACCCCTTTCTCAAGTGATCCTTTACCAATAGAAAGGAGTGAAAGAATAGCCAACCGATTAACTGTTTAATTAGCAAGTTTACTGCTTTACACAATTAATCATTTAGGATTTCATTTCCCAATTTAATGACCATTGATGCTGCCATGTAATGTGTTTCATAACATTACATAGATATAGATTCTATGCCATTAGAGGGGCACAGAATGCAAGGACCAGAATTCGTTAAATATACAATATCATAGATATTTATTTTTGATAATTACCCACCGGTGTTTGAAACCCTAGTGGGTCTCACTAATCCGATTTTGGGTTTAAACCTCTTCACCCTTCAAGGAACTGCAACTTCTACTAAGGAAGTATATGACAATCTGCATTGACAATAGCTTTTGGGTATTCTATTCAATTAGTTTCATGCAGAGATCCCAAAGTTTCTTCGCCAAATCAGTGTCCGTTCCTTGTGAGTTTGGTTTAGCCAGATTATTATCTGAAAAATACTCGCCACTAATTCCCTTCACTTGGGGGTGCAGAGCTACATAGCATGTTGTTGCTGCTCCCTATAATGAGGTTGAAAACCGTGAACATGGACTAACGCAAGAATCACAACTCAAATTAAATATGGAAAAAGTTATATTTACAAAATTTTGTTTACAAACTCTTACAAATTACATTATGTACTTCTAAAAGTACATAATGTAATTTGCAAAAATTTGTAAAAAAAATTTTATAAACTGATTATTTCCCATTAAATATATAATTCGCTTTTTGAGTAAATAACTAATTAATAACAATTTCCTGACATTATAAACTCAGCAAAATTGGGTTAAAAATTACCTGCCCGATACTTTTAAGCACAAAATTCCCAATCGCATCAAGTAGACCTGCATGAATCAGACAGAAACATGACCATAAAACAAATACCGATGAAAATAATTCTACAAACAATATTAGTTGATGTTGCAATTGAGTTCTATAAATTATAAAATATGCCTCGAGGTGAACATGGAAAACTGTTCCTATAGAATGCTTAAAAGATTGATGATGTCAACATGTCTGCATTCAATATTCAAAAGGGCCAACATAATCAATATAACTACTATTTTCTTCTTTTACAAAATAAAGGTTTAAAACACCCAAAACCCACGGAAGTGTAAGGACAATTCAATTATACATACAATCCTAAATTAAAAAAAACAAAAAAAGGAGAGAAAAGCAGTGCACTCAGCTTACCTTGGTTTACTGCAATACAGGACTACATTTTGCAAGTATATCACTATAGTCTCCTCAATGTACTCTCGTTACAATTTACTTAGTTACAAGATAATATAAATAAGCTTAGAAAACTCTAGTTATTCATGGACCCAAAATCAAATTACTAAATAATAGAAATTACAAATAATTTTGAGACTCACAACAATACTAAGCCTCCACAAGCATTGGATGCTGCCCTCTACATCCCACCGGGGTTGCCCCACGTTGCCTTTATCTATGCTAGGGTGTTATGAGTTGCTAACTAGATGTAAAATATGAGTCATGTGGGAGTTCGAGTTCTACGTACGCAATTGTGTTAAAATCTTAGTAAGGAGAGCTTTGCCTCCTTTATAGTCCTGCTTGGCTTGACCGGATTAGTCAAGTAATTACTTAATCGGTGGAGAAATCTCCAAAATAAAATTCATTGAAAATAAACAAAAAAAAAAAGGTATCCTCCAAATAATGTTAGGTTATGCAGAATACTTCATTTAGTATCCAAAATCCCACAATGTACATAATTCCTAGATTGAACATAAATTTACATGAATGATGAAATGTGGTAGTTACCAGTAGGTACACCGTCATTATGTTCAGACTTCACAATATTGGTGATAATAGATCCTGGATGAAGAGAATTTGCAGTAATATCTGCCCCATCTTCCTGATTAAGATGCATCGATTATTATTAGATATATCAGACAGAAGCAAAACTAGAGGGCCATCTTTACTCTTCAAACAAAAGTAAAGGAAAATCATCATAAAGGAAAAAGAGAAGGAGAAAAGAATCAGAAAAGTAAACAAAATGATCTAATGATTGTGGTTTGCTATAGTAGTTATGAGACTCGCTGGCACAAGGAATGCAAAGTTATGAGAAAGGTCTTTGTTGATAATAAAAAAAAAATTCCAAAAAGCTAGTAAAAAATTATCTATTCCAAAAAAAAGTTCACTTTTAATTCAACTAATAGATACTGATAAAATACTTTAATTACTTACAGCACAATGAACATACTAAGATTTAAGAAGAAAGTGAGCACGATATAAATTCAATATCTGCAACCTAACAATTAACCATTGAAACTATGAAATTCTAAGAACTATTAACTAACTCTTTCACCAGAGTAACTTGTTAATCTTATTACAGTACAATAAATGTCAGCATACCTTGAGATATCTTGCAAGTTCATTGGCATGTAAAATGTTAGCAAGCTTTGAATGCCCGTACGCACGCCATTTCTGGTAACTGCAGACATGGAAGTAAAAATAATGAAATATACATTTCTCCTCTCCACAGATACAACAGGAATCATATCTGCGTGCTCAATTCTACATGTAACTAGGGTTTGTATAAGATTATAACTATATCCACGTGCATCATAATCATATCAGTGGGTTTTCTCTACAGAGACTTTAATCTGGTACTCTCTTTAAGTGACAGGAGACAAAAAATTTACACAAAGCAATATAGCAATGTACATCTAATGTGACATATAAGCACAAAAAATCAATAACACAAACTTAATTTTGACTAATATTTCTTTTAACTTTTACAATTGAACAAATATTAGAGCTGAATTGCTAATGTTAATAAAGTTGACTATCCAGCGAATTTTGTAATTAGGCTACATCTTTACCTTGATTCATCATTAAGTTTATCAAAAAGGATTCCTTCAGGATATGTATATCGGTGACCATCAGAGGAGACATTAATAATTCTCCCTTCTTTCTTGCTTTCACGTGCTGTTTTCTTCATTGTATCCAATAAAAGATTTGTTAAAAGAAAATGACCTGTGGAATTATGATAAATAAAAACAGAGGAATTAAGATCACTTCGACATCTGCTCAGTCTAGACATATAAAGAAAGAGTAGAAAAGTTATTTGACATTTTATATAAACTACATTCCAATTACATAAGCTAATAGCCTAAAACAGATTGTTAAAAGTTATTTTTACCCCTTCCCCAACAAAAGTGACAAGCACCTTTGTCCCTAAGTTCTTAATTACCTGCACAAGAAAGAAAATAGATCTCATTCCCTATACTCCCTAATTTTATTTTATTTTTAAGTGTCAGTGTGTCTTTTTCTTTCCCCTTTTACACTGGAAAGCTAATAAACATTTCATGTTAGCAAATATCAGACATTTCCTACATACCCAAGTGATTTGTGGCAAATTGTAGTTCAATGTTGTCTTTGGAAAGAGTGAAAGGGGTTGCACAAATTCCTGCATTGTTTCTTAGAATTATAACAAACAAACCAAAAAAACATTACCACTCCATTTCCTTGAATGGTCAGAATTAACATATATACATTGATAATGTAGCAAATGTAGTCTTCTTACATGAGGATGTTCAATGGAAGACCAGAAGAATTAAACTCTAACACAAATTTCCGAACTGATGCCATTGAACTAAGATCTAACTCCATGACATCAACTTTAGCTTTGGGAATCTCCTTAACTATTGCTTCCTTGACATCTTTGCCAGCAACCATATTTCTAACCCCCATAATCACATGGACTCCACGCAAAGCAAGAACTCGTGCAGTTTCAGTGCCAATACCATTGGTTGTTCCTGTTAATAGAATATCCACCAGCAATAAAAGTATGCAAATAAGAGGCACGTATGATACTAAAAGCCATGTCAAGTTAAAACAAAGACACATGAGCAATAGCCTTTCACATGATTGTCATCAAATAACCTCAACTGGTATATTAATTTTATTTATTTATTTTTTTCCAAATGGTAAGACTTGATATTGTTGTTACAATAAAAACATACATATTTTGTGAGGTTAAAAGGAAACAAAAAGCAATGATAAAAGATTATGCAGAGGAAGGTAAACAAAAACTTTAAAGACCCAAAAATGAAACATCCATTTGTTTATAAAGATATAAAAAGCAGGGAAGGGACATTTCCTAGATTAATAATAATAATAATAATACGACCTGTGACAATAGCAGTGAGGCCAGTCCCATCAATCCCTTGTGTAACTTCCTCTGCAGTGGAAGATAACGAAAACCCAGAAGGACACATGCCTAACTAACTCTCTTTCTATGTCTCTATGTTGTTTGTGTGTGTGTGAGTGTGTGGAGTGCATGTTCCTACTTATGAAGTATCAGTTGCCGTTTTGTTGATTCCAAGGAATATCACATGCCCCAACCTCTCTTTCTTGTTTTGGATTCGGTTATTTGTTTGGTTTATGTTGTCCCTTTACCTCAGCCGGCGATACCACACAGCCACCAAATATGCTTTTCTTATGTGTCATAATTTTATGGGATTTATTATTCTTATGTTACATAAGATATAATCTATACCCTACACGCAAATTCAAGATGGATTTCATTTTACTTTTTCTCTCTCTTCTTTTAAAAGTGGACTCCACCTGCTCAAATTGAGTCTGTAGGAGATAAATATTATCTCCTACTGCATGAGAAAACTATTACCCTAATTTTATACACATTTATATTATGGATTAATGTTTTTCACGTTGTAGAAGATAATTTTATCTCTTATATACCTATAAAAATGTAATATCCCAGAAAAATAGTAATAATAAAATTAATAATAATAATAATAATAGTATTATGTACCCTTATGTATGGTGTTATAGGCATTGATTGCTAATAGTGTGTCATAATTTGACTTTAAAACTGTAACCTTAATTAGTGGATATTTTAATTGTAACGTTCAGCAGTTATGGGTGGTTATCATTTAATTAGTAAATTACAATAATTATTTTTATTTAATTTTGTAACCGTTGATATATTAATAATAGTTAAAATAATTATGATGACCATTGATATTATTTGCAGTTTCAATAATTGAAATAAGTATATGACTTTTGATATTACCTGTAGTTAATGTATCGGTTTCAAAACTACATATATAAACAGGACCTTAACCTAACCAAACCAAATCATTTCCAATCCCCAGCACTTCCCCATTTCTCTTCTCCTCTACTTTCTCTCTTCTTACTTCAAATTTTTATTTATTTTATTTTATTATTATTTTCCTTTGGTTACCAACCGCTTTTCTTCCCAAAATCACTTTTCTTCTAGAAGATAGCCAACACGAAGACCAGGTAATCCTAATCCCTAGAGAGATATAGAGATATAGGTTATATTGATATGAATTTTGTTCCTAGAGTCATATGGTAGCTTGATCTAAAATTTGTTATGATGTAATCCTAATCCCAAGGTGGTTGTAGATTTGTTGTGTAGAAATTTGTTGGGTGTATCCTAAACCTTTAGAAGTAATAGATTATTTATATACGAATTTTGTTTGATATAATATTGACCTTTACGGAGTAATATATTAATTTTATGTGATTCTTATTTGATATAATCACAATTTGTTATACCTAATCCTAATCATTAGGTATTTGTAGGTTATCTCTTTTATATGAAATTTGGGCTTAATCCTTATATGTAATCATAATTCCTAGATATCCTAATCCCTAGGTGCTCTTAGGTTAGTTTTATATGAAATTTGTTAAATGTAATCTTAATCCTTAGGGAGTTTTTGGATGTTTTCATATGTTATAGTAACCCTTAGGGTATTTGAATTAAATTATTTTAACCTCTAGTAATTAATTGGATTATTGGACTTTGGCTTTACTCTATTAGATGTGAATATTTGAATTCTGATTTGGAAAATTATAATATGATGATTGGATTTGGGTTTTACTCTTGGAATTCTGATTTGGAAAATTATGATATGATAATTGGATTTGGGTTTTACCCTAGTAAATGTTGAATATGAACATTGTGATATTTTGGATAATAGATTTGAAAATTATGATGGATTTGGAAATTATGATATTCTTGAAAATTTGAATTTGGAAATTATACTCTTGATTAAATTGATGTGGAAATTATGAAAGATATTTGAGAAAACTTTCCAATTATAAAGATTGTGACAAGATTGAATTTTATTGATTGTGTGTGATTGTAATAAATAATAGTGGGAAGATAGCTTTTGGGATGGTACCTCCTGAAAGTGATGAACACAACCTTTGGGCTTTATGCCTTTGATATTTATTTGATGTGACAATGATGTTTCCGTTCTTCCCAAAGTGGTATCTGGCAACAGGGTTTCCCGGGGTACTAGTAGCAACTTTGGGAAGAGGTGTGCACACTAGGATTTGATATTTTGATATGGCCAATTTTGATTATATGTGGCTGGCAACAGGGTTTCCCGGGTAACGGGGTAGACTGGCAACAGGGTTTTCCGGGTCTACCATGGTTCTCTTCCCACTAAATACACTAAATGGATTAAACAAAGATTAATATAATTAATAACGAGTTGATATTTGATTTGAATTTTGAGTTATATTATTTGATTGGATTATTATGAGTTATATTTTATTTATTTATTTATTTTCGTATATTGGATTGGGATTACCAGCTTTGCTGACTGTTTGTGTTTGTGATTGTTTTCCTACAATGATCCTACTGGGGGAGCAGATTTTCAGTGAAACAGATTGCAAAGGATGGGGCTAGCTGTGGGCAGTGAGGATAACGACTCAGAGAAAATTAGTTTTAGATTGGTGAATCTCTGATTTTATTTTCATATTTATGAATCTAATAGAGTTAGCCTTGCACTTGTCCATGTACAGGTGCGGCGGTAACATTTCCCCAAATTAGTTTTAGATTAGTTTCCGCAATATTTCTATGATCATAAAAATAAATAAAACGTGAATTTTGGCAATTTCTTTATTATAATAATGTTTCATAAATTGTTAGAAATTTAGGGGTGTTACAAAAAATTTGAAGGGCCCAAGTGGGACCATGTGAAGAGAAAAGAGAAAAAAAATATAGATTCCACACACTTTTATGTATGTGTAGAAGATAAACAAAATTATCTTCAATAACATGAGAAATATAAATCCCTTTATTTTATTAAGTGTCTAACAATTTAATTATTCTCTCTTTTTCATGATTATGCATATAATAAATACATGTGGGATATATTAGGATTGATTACACATCTGCATCGTTTAATCACACCAATTTAATGTAGAAGTATCACTCTTTAGCACATTTGAAATAGGTGAGGATTTCAATCTTTTTGAGATTTTCAAAGAGGTTGGGGGTTTACCCTAACGCGGGTGAGATATCAGTATTTAACTATACCTAGACTTTTACATACAAAAATAAAATATGTAAGCATGATATGAGAAACCGAACTCGGTATCCCTTTTTTCTAAATGGGAAATCTTTTTTTACATTTAAACTCATGCTTTTGTTTATATTTCACTCTAAGTCCTAATAATTTTCCCCTTTTAGAATGGACGTAGGTACTATAGTAGTATCCAAAAAATTATTGTTGAATGAAGATGAAGTAAGCAGTTCCCAGTGGAGTCAACTCTCAAAAATTAAATTTAAAACATGTCATTTCTTATGAAAAATAAAAAAATTTCAATGACTCCTCATTTTCCCTCTTATTTATTATTCTGACCTCAGTTCAATGTTATTAAACTCGGATTGGTCATTGACTCGGTCAGAATACTGGATCAATGAATCAGTAGTTACATTAATGAGTTATTAGTCGAACTGATTGAATTTAATTTATTTGATAAATATAAAATTAAAAAGTAAAGAACTTTAATGACAAACTGAATGGTGCCACTTTTAAAGATCCACTAATACTAATCCGTCGTTGCACCTTCCATTCTTAATTCAGCTAACTCCACTTTCAGCTGGTCAGGAACTTGTTGAATCTTGAAAAACAATTTGACTTTAATGATCCAAGTATTCGGTTCCTTCCCTACAAACTTCGGAATCTCCGTTTTCACATACTTTAAAACTGCTCTTGGATCATAAATATTCGATATTGGTTGGTTAACTACACGTTGATGCTGAGAAGGATTATCCTGAGAATGATTCTCAAAAGCTAGTCTTGATACTTGAATCAACATCTCATGAAACTGAGTCTTGATCGCTTGAAACCTTGTTTCTATTGACTCCAAAATCTACTTAAAACTTTGATTGCTTTGCTCCCGATGTTGCACAAACTCTTCAGCCAGATCTTGAACTCTCATGATTGCTATGATGTGCTCACAAAAGTGAAAGCACCAATGATATGGGACGCATACTCGTAAGTAAAGAACTTCAATGACAATCCCATACTATTCACGGAAGACAAACTCTAACACCCTTAAATGGTGGCTTGTTGTCTCGTAGCACGTTTTAGCGCCCTTAAGTCGTTGTAGTGCGTTCAAATGAGCAATTTTGGGTTCCTTAACGCGCTTTAGCACTCTATAGCATGCTCAACCACAAGGAAATTCCCATTAGCCCATTTTAGCGCGCTCTTCCTAGGGATTTGAAGGGTGACATTGAGGTGTTGGACTTCCTTTTCAAGAACATAACATCTCATAGGTACCTAATAACTTATGTTCACAATCCACATCACTAATAATTCTCAACTATATACATTTTCCAACTATATCAAGGTTCCATGAAGTTTCATTCAAATCAATATAAATCAAGAAACATTTCTTTCCAAGTAATGTCCCAAGATTACAAAATAGGACTTCTTAGCCTTTCACTTAAATCACATTGTTCATAGAATCATTAATATGTGTTCTTTACATAGGGTCAACCACAAGTAGTGAATCAAAACATATATTTTTGTACACATATCAATCCTCATATCTCAATCTGCTCAAGATTACAAAATAAGGCACATTGGCCCTCCTTTTTAACATAAGCACATACATGACCAATTTTACAACTTATTATAATACGTATGTCCAATGCACATCTCAAAACATAATCCTATTATGTTCCCATGTCAAAAAGGGGAAATCATAATATGCATGCTATTATTTCTTAAACTGGCTTCTTTCCACATAAAGTCTCAACTCAATCACTTACTATACCTGAAACATAATTTCCCACTATTTGCTCCTCGGACATAACATTCACTCCTCACATTCTTGCTCCCACAAATACCCTGAGCAAATCTCGACCCAATAAGCAATTGGTGCTGTTGTCGGGGATATTTTGGCAAAGGAGGCGTTCAGAAGAAGTGTATTTCTTTGTTTTCTTTTGTAAAATTTACATTTTTATATGTTTGTGTTTATTTTTATTTTCTTAACTCTGTTGCTCCTATTTTCATGACTATTGTTTATGAACACTAAGGCTGACGAACTTGCTCTTAGGCTTATACTGTTTGATCCAAAACCAGAAAGGACATT